GGCGAAATATGATCTAAATGATGTTAATTGTGTATATATATGCTTAGCTACAAAGTTGTTTAATGAGCATGCCTTGTGTTGAATTATTCTCTTGAGGTTATAGTTTATATATATATATATATATACACACATGATGATGATGATGATGAGTATGTATGATTCAGTTGATAAAATTTAAGCATGTGCATTGTCAATTTCATTCATCCATGATTCCATTCATGGCATGGGCATGGTTTGGGAAAAGTGAGGTTGAAATTATTCTTGTAAAGGAATGTGATTGAAAGGGAATTGTGAGGAAAGGATTTAGAAACGAACCGGGTATCGCGGACTAGGGGCTAACTTGACCTAGAGTGGGCGCAGCCCGGTGTAGGGCGTGAAAAAGTTGACATTAAAAGTGTCAATCCTAGCTCAGTAAAGTCAGTTAGCGTAGGTGGGGATTTGGAGTTGGTGTGAGACCAAGTTCGGAACGGTTACGCAATGCATTGCATTTCATGGCATTTTAGCACCTATGATTATGACTGATTATGTGATGATAATTTTTTTAAAATTGAATGACGTGGATTGTGATTTTGATAATTCCCCGTGTATAATCTCGACATCTTTTTCTTGTTCTTTGGTTGTTGGCTCAAGGGAGTCCAAAATCGGTGTTTTAGGCATTACCTACTGAGCTGTTGAGTTCACCCTTTATCTTAACATTTTTAGGAAACTTGAGGAGTATGGACGTATGACTTGTATCAATGGACTTAGACGCCACTACCATTCTACCTGTATTTGTGAGTTTTCTATGATGTTAGTGATATGAATCTTGAGATGACGTATATTTTATGCACTGACTTAGGAAAGGACGGTAATGCCTTAGATGACATCGAGTTCGGGTAAGGACCCGGTAAACGATTCGGACCCCGGATTCGGATCGTTACAATTATGGTCTTTAGTACGCGGTATTGGTCAAATAGACCATTTTACCCTTGGGTAGTTCCGGGTCAAATCATGACTCGGTTAAGGTTTCGAATCGTTACAAGTACATAGAATCCACATAGGTTCAAACCAAGCTTGTGACCTCACTGCAAGCCAATATTTAAACATTTGAACTTGTTTTTCTAGCACTTGGTCTTAGGTACCACATTTTTCTAGTACTTAGTTGGTCTTGCGTACCAAAAACTGAACTTGAAAGTTGAACTCATGCCACCTTCACAACAATTCATTAAATTCCCACTCAAATTAGACACTAAACGGCCGAAATTAATTGCAATTTTGAGTTATACATGTCTTTAAATCCGTCACAAACAATGCATAGCGACTTGACTATGGAAAATGCCATGCAATTCTTAGTCCATTATGAATCCCTCGATTTGTTTTCATTGAGCAGAGACATTTGACTAGAATAGAAGTTGTTATTTGTTTATTATTATTTTTTATTTTAGATGATAAAGTTTTTAACATTATAAAGTGTTATTTATTATTTATTCATGATGTTTTCCCAATTATCTAATAAATATATATATGTTGCATTTTACGTTAATATGTGGAGATACACGAGATAAAAATGATACCTTGCAAGTTGTACATGGTGATGAAATAAAGAAATAGAATTATCCGACTGTTACTAATAGATACTATTTGACAAGAAAATTATGTACGAGTCAAGTGGACTGTGCGGACTGTGACACAAGCTCAATGGAAGTTGAATTCAGAGTCCAAAATAGATGACGGATTTTGCCACTACATCTACATGGAGAAAAAAAGGAACCACTTTATTGACTTTTGACCTCATCAGTGGTGGAGCGGCGGCGGCTGTGTATTGGGTTGCTGATGGTGAGAGTGATGGTGACAGTGGAGGAAGTTAGGGTAAAATATGAGAAAGTTGTTGAGGGTACTTTTGTCCTAATACAAAATTAATTGTGTAGTATTCTTTTTAGGGAAAATTACATATAAATGGAGTTAAAGTTCCATATTTACTTAGAGGCTGAGTCAAAGTTCCATATTTCTCTAAAATGGATTGCTGAGGTGGCACATGGTTTTTTACTGTTTAGAAATTGTGATGCCTAAAATACCCTTCCGCGAAGGTACTACTTTTTCTTCGAAGGTACTACTTTTTTGAACTGAAGGTACTACTTTTTGGCGTCCAGGTACCATGTTTTTTAAACACTCGCGAAGGTACTACTTTTTCTCCGAAGGTACTACTTTTTTGAACTGAAGGTACTACTTTTTTGAACTGAAGGTACTACTTTTTTTATTAGGGAAGGGCATTTTAGGCACCATAATTTTTTAAACAGTAAAAAATCATGTGCCACCTCAGCAATCCATTTTAGAGAAATATGGAACTTTGACTCAGTCTCTAAGTAAATATGAAACTTTGACTCCATTTATATGTAATTTTCCCTTCTTTTTAAACTTGGTTAGTTGGTTGTATTCAAGATAATTTGTCACTTATTAAATTTTCTCACTCATAATATTCCTAGTTCCACTTAAATTAAACACTAAACAGCCGAAATTAATTGCAATTTTAAATTTTCGAAGTCTCCAAATCCATCACAATGCATTGGAAAGTTAGCTTTATAAATTGGCCATCACGAGCATATGCGTGTAAGATTTCTTAATTAAATAAAATTAATAAAAAAATGAATAAAAAACTGACCTTTTGACACATCTAGGCTTTCTTATAGAGGTTGAAAAGAAACTTGAATTCAAGCCAATTTTTTTTTTTTTTTTTTTTTTTTTTTTTTTTAGAAAAAGGTTTGTAGTCCGCCAAAGATTTGTTTTTTTTTTTTTTTTTTGTTTTTTTAATTATTTATTATTATTACGGCCTATTATTTTTCTCTTGACAAATATTTGTAGAATATATTTGAAATATTTAAATCTTCAACATTTCGAGAAATATTTTAAATTTTAATTATTTTAATAATATAATATCACTAATTAATTAAATATTATTAGGTGATGACAAATTTCACTACACAAATATATTTTTGACACAAATCTGTCACCAATACTGAGAAGAAATTCTTCAAGCTTAGAAAGCAGAGGACATGCTATTAATTTATTATAGATAGACGTAGAAAATGTGCCAGCAAGTAGTGGGGGGATAGGGACAAGAGTCCACGAGACGTAAATGAGACGGAACAAGTTGTGCATAAAGGATGAAAATAGAGAAGTGGAATTAGAGTCAGCAAAGCAGACTAACGGGGGGGGGGGGTTCACCAACCTCCTACCCCCTTCTTCTTTTTTTTTTTTTTTTTTTTGTTTCGGGGGAAAAAGTAGAGGATGGGCAGTCGAATATCTCTGACTAATAGATTATCGGGTAATGTTCAATAGGCCTTACTAATTGGGATTTTTTTTACGATTATTTTTTATTCAAAAAATGATTTGCGACAAATTAGATGATGGGGATTTGAATACAGACAATTCTATTCGAAAAGTTAGACATTTTACCTACTAGGTCATTGAGTAATGTTTAATAAGTCTTACCAAATGGGATTTCTCTTTTTTACAATTACTTTTTACACAACACATGATTTGTCAAAATGACTACAAATATGTAGATCTACCTCTCTTGAACAAATTAGAGGATGGGAACTCGAATACGGACAATTCTAGTCAAAAAATTGTACGTTCTACCTATTAGGTCTTTAGGTAATGTCCAATAATGTGGCGACCTTGTGGGCGGGTGTATGTGAGCGTGTGCAGGGGGCACCAGTAGGCTACCACATTGGACGAGTTACAGATGCACAATCATACATCGTCTAGGTGTGGATGGGGCAAGTGCTATATGTAGATTCAACACTCTTCTATGACACAACGCGTTTTAAAGCCGTGATAGCCTTGAACCCATCAGAACTCTGTAGTTAAACGTGCTTAACTTGGAATAGTACCAGGATGGGTGATCACCTGGGAAGTCTCTGGTCTGGGTGAGCTAAAAGCGGACAATATTGTGTCTGGCCAGGGTGAGGGTCGTTACAAATGGTATCAGAGCCTGACCCAGCCGGAAGTGTGGCCAACGAGGACGTTGGGCCCCAAAGGGGGGGTAATTGTGGCGACCTTGTGGGCGGGTATATGTGAGCGTGTGCAGGGGGCACCAGTAGGCTACCACACTGGGCGAGCTACAGGTGCACAATCCCACATCGTCTGGGTGTGGATAGGGCAAGTGCTATATGTAAATTCAACACCCTTCTATGACACAACGCGTTTTAAAGCCGTGATGGCCGTGAACCCATCAAAACTCTGTAGTTGAGCTTGCTTAACTTGGAGTAGTATCAGGATGAGTGACCTCCTGGGAAGTCTCTGGTCTGGGTGAGCCAAAAGTGGACAATATTGTGTGGGGGAGTCTAACCTCAGGTTTGCCAAAAATCAAAATGACAACAAATACGCTTCTCTACCTACCACCGCGGGGGAGTCTAACCTCAGGTTTTTTCCTTCTTTATTACTATTGTTTTTTTTCTTTTTCTTCCTTTATAAGTTAAACCTCAATTTCCATTTCTTATATGCTTAATTTTGGGGATTGCATAACCAATTCCCGAATTAAAGAGTACTACCTTAGTTTCTAGCTCAATCTTGAAAACAAAATTTTCAATTGAGATGACATCCTTAAGCAGCTTACCATCCGAAGTCCATGCACTAAAAATGTAAAGGTAAAAAATAAAAAGAAGTAACACAATCCAGGACTTTTGCTGCAATGAAATGAAAAATTGCATGGATGATTTTACAGGGGCTTACTGGTGCACAATTTATTTAGAGAAAGGCTATTATTTAGAGAAAGGCTATACGAGGTACAACTCACGACAATTGTCTTAACACATTTTGAGCATAAAAGAGTGTAAGTGTGAATTATATAATCACATTGCTCGTATGCTCTAAAGTAAAATGATATTAGCAAATCAAATGTGACACTTCAATTTGATCAAGAATGGTCCAAAGAAAGAAGGGGAATGTAAAACTTCAACCAAAGCATGTGATTTACCATAAAAGCCTTTGATACAAAATTTTGACTTCCTTCTCTGTCATGCCCGATAATTCCAATAAAATTCTCGATTTATACAAGATCAAATACATCAAAATACACCCAGGATCACAAAAAAAATGCCCTCTTTTATACAAAGTCAGATTCCTCAAAAATACAAAAAAAATCTCTAAATAAAAAAATAAATCCTCCACGCCGACTCTTCATCCTAAGCCCGTTTCTAACTATTCCCGTTCATCTTTTGTACCTGAAACTGGAGGGTGGTGAGACAAAAAGTCCCAATAGAAAAAATCATAATAAGAATTTCATAGAGATTTAATAAAACAGTTTCATAACATAAACATATACATTTAATACATATACATTTAATTAAAAATATTTAATAAAAACATTAAAACAAAACCTCTCCATGCCATTCAAGACATAGAGAATCCTACACTGAAAAAGAATCATCAAATCTCCAAACTTTCGCTGCGCCCTCTACAACTCTTGTCTCACTCACTGTCTGCTCAAACTATCTCTGTCTCGACTCTCTTTCTATTCTCCACTTTTTCTCCTCAATTTCTTTCTCTGTTACCCACACAAACCCAAAGCACACCCGTACAATTTATAAGCCTTTCACCACCGACACAAAATTCCACCTTTGCTCAAAACCCATGTGCATAAAGGAGCTTAAGTCAAAAAGTGGGTCTGCCAAAAATTAATTCATTTGTATCTTCATTATTGCAATACCAAACAATACCAACTATCAGCCACCAAAATGCCAAGCCACGTGAAGAAAATTTAGAGCAAAGGAGATTGTGTCAAACAATAATCCTTGTGGGTCCCAGAAAAAAGAAAAAAAAGCCATCATCACTTTTATCTTTCCTTTTCATCTCACCAATTCTACCGCCACACTCTCCTATTCCTTTTTTCTTCATATACATAAAATACACACACACACGTATATACCATCATGTATAAAATATATATACAAGACCAAACCAAACAATTTTAGTGAGACTCGCCAACTAGCTCATTACTATTTTAATTTTTCTTTGCATTTTCGGCCACCTGCTCTATTTTCTTCTCAGATGCAACAAAATATATATAAAATATGTAACAAATAAATATATATATTATAAGTCTCCAATTAAATAAAATAATCAATCTTTCATAATTAAATTAAAATTCATAAAATAAATTAAAATCTAAAAAAAAAAAAAGGAGTTATCACATTCTCTCTCAAAAGTTGTAACTAATTAAATAAAAATGGAGACCCTGATTCTTCTTCATTCTTCAAGAGAAGATGGAACATGTCACGTATATAGTTTAAGCCAAAAGTGGGACTAACACTCCATTCATATATATATATATATATATATATATTCACTCAAAAGTGAAGACTTGGGAAGAGACAGGGTAGACTTGGGAAAATGATGTCGAAGACTTCAAGAAAAGCATACGTGCAAAGTTCCAAAATTCCAACTTCATAATTTCTATAAATTTAAGATGATCAATAACAACCAGATATAAATCTCACCCCTTTACCATTTGCACAAGTGATCTTTCTTGATAGATTCATACAAGTGTTTCTAACTAACCTCACATTTCTGAAATCCACTTCCAGAAACGAGTCCAATTATGGCTCACAACTCCTTCACAATACAAAAAGTATATTCCCTAGTGTTCATCGCATTGCTGCTTCATATCATCATGAATAGTGGTAGTACCCACCCTAATGCCACTGCCAGAAATACTGTAACCATTGGCAAAAATGAGACAGATCATCTTGCCTTGTTGGCCATCAAGTCAAAGATTGTTCATGACCCTCAAGGTGTCCTGAGCTCGTGGAATGAGTCACTTCATTTCTGCAACTGGGAAGGTGTTGCATGTGGTCGTCGCCATCGCAGAGTCATCAGTATAGAATTATGGTCCAGAGGCTTAGTGGGTTCGTTGTCACCACATGTTGGAAACTTGAGCTTCCTTCGTGTATTAAGGATCTACAACAACACTCTTCAAGGTGAAATCCCTCCTCAAGTTGGTCATTTGTTCAGGCTGCAACTATTGGACTTGAACAACAACTACTTCAAAGGAGAAATCCCAGCCAACTTATCCCACTGCTACAACCTCATGTATCTCCGCGTAGGTTTCAATAAGCTAGTTGGGAAAGTTCCTGAAGAGCTTGGTTCATTGTCAAGGCTCATAAAACTAATCATTCACGCGAATTACTTAGTTGGTGGGATCCCTCGATTCATTACCAGACTGACTTCTCTTGAATCTGTGTCTGCAGGTCAAAACCATTTCACTGGTGGTCTTCCTGCTGCCTTGGGTCAATTGAAAAATTTAAAAGTACTTGCGTTTGGTGACAATCAACTCTCTGGTACAATCCATCCTTCCATTTACAATCTTTCTTCTCTAACTGTTCTCTCTTTCGGTGTTAACCAGCTTCATGGCACTCTTCCACCCAGCTTAGGACTGATGCTCCCTTATCTTCAACTCCTCGAATTAGGGGGGAACAAATTTACTGGACCCATTCCTTTCTCAATATCCAACTGTACAACACTAGGAACCCTTACTATGGAAGAAAATAATTTCAATGGGAAATTAGCAATTAATTTTGGAGGCCTCCAAAATCTCCTGGAAATTATCCTACATGATAATAATTTAGGAAGTGGAGAGCCAGATGAAATGAACTTCATTAATTCTTTGGCTAACTGTAGCAATTTTGAGTTGTTAGAACTTTCTGATAACCAATTCAGAGGGATCTTACCCAATTCTGTGGGCAATCTCTCAAACCAATTTTATTTTCTCTCACTTGGTACAAATTTCATACATGGAAAACTCCCTTCAGCAATAGGTGATCTTGTCAACTTAAATTTTTTAATTCTAGATCATAATCGATTCACGGGCCCAATTCCAGCTGCTATTGGAAATCTTCAAAATTTACAACGGGCATATCTTGGTACAAATTCATTTAATGGAGAAATACCACAATCTATAGGCAACTTATCATTGTTGATAGAGCTTTACTTGGATGAGAACAGATTAGTGGGGAACATACCCTTGAGTATTGGAAATTGCAAGAAATTGTTATTGCTTGATCTTTCCCAAAATAATCTTAGTGGCACCATACCCAAACAACTTTTGAGAATTTCAACTCTTTCTATTTCACTCAATCTATCTCGAAATCGTTTTTTCGGATCCTTACCTTCTGACGTTGGCAACCTCATAAAGTTGGCAGATTTGGATATATCTGAGAATGGGTTGTCTGGTGAAATTCCAAATAGCCTTGCGAGTTGTACTAGCCTCGTAAACCTCTATATGGAGGGGAACTTCTTTAATGGATCAATTCCTCAATCGTTGAGTTCCTTGAGAGGTATTATGAACTTTGATCTTTCTAGGAACAAATTGTCTGGAAAGGTTCCAAGATTCTTTGAGCATTTTTCCTTGAAGAATCTTAATTTATCCTTCAATGATTTTGAGGGTGAGGTGCCGATTGAAGGAGATTTTGCAAATGCAAGTGTAATTTCAGTTGTTGGAAACAGTAGGCTCTGTGGTGGCATACCAAAACTTCAACTACCAAAATGCAACATCAAAGAATCAAAGAAAAAGAAAAGTTCTCTTCTGCTCATATTAGTGATCTCAGTAGTGTGCACACTTCTGGGTGTGACAATGGTAGTATCTTTCTGGTTTTGTTGGGTTAAAAAGAAAAGAAATGTTCCACCTTCGGGAATATTGTTGAGAGAATCATTCATGAAAGTGTCTTATGAAATGCTCCTCAAAGCTACTGGCGGGTTCTCTTCAACAAATTTGATTGGTGTGGGTAGTTATGGCTCTGTCTACAAAGGAATCCTTGATCCAAATGAAACCATTGTTGCAGTCAAAGTACTAAACCTCCAACGTCAGGGAGCTTCCAAAAGTTTCATGGCCGAGTGTGAAGCCTTGAGAAATATCAGACATCGGAATTTGGTAAAGGTCATAACTTCTTGCTCGAGCATTGATTTTCAAGGAAATGATTTTAAGGCTCTAGTCTATGAATTCATGATCAATGGGAGTCTAGAGAGTTGGTTGTATCCAAGTCCGAAATCTACTAATGGAGAGAATGACCAAACTCAGAGCCTAAACCTTCTTCAAAGAATTAATGTTGCAGTTGATGTGTTGTCTGCACTAGAGTATCTTCACCATCATTGTGAAACGCCAATAATTCATTGCGATCTAAAGCCAAGCAATGTCCTACTTGATAGCGACATGGTTGCTCATGTAGGAGATTTTGGATTAGCAAGGTTTCTTCAACAACTCACAAATCCAAATCAGAGCAGTTCAATTGCAGTAAGGGGAACTGTTGGTTATGCAGCTCCAGGTAAGCATGCACAATAAATTATTGTTTCTTTTTATTTTCATTTTCATTTTCTTCCTCTAGGTTTAAAACTGAATCACTGAAGACACCATAACTTTTTAGGATTTAGACTTGATACCAAAACTAACTTCTTAGGATTAAATTTTGATATAGGTTAGTCCTTGTGTTTGTGTGTGTGTGCATGCGCATGAGAGACTCAAGACTTTTATTGGAATGGAGGCATAAATGGATGGGAATAATTTTTTGTGCATTTGAATGATGTATGGGAATAGATATAACCTGTTTTAATTAGAATTTAAGTTTTTTTTAACCCATAAACCTAAATATTGAATAGCCTATCTTTTTTCAAATGTGCTTCCAATCTTTGTCCAAAAAAATATATATTGTTTCTTTTCATTAATTTTGTGAATGGCAGAGTATGGATTGGGAAGCAAAGTGTCAACAAAAGGGGATGTATACAGTTATGGGATCTTGGTATTGGAGATGATGACAAGGAAAAGGCCTACTGACAGTATGTTTGAGGGAGGTCTTAACATTCATAACTTTGCTAGGATGGCTTTGCCTGACCGTGTTATGGAGATTGTAGACCCAATACTACTGAACATTGATGATGAAGAAGAGGTAGCAGCACTGTCAAATAGAAATCGAGATCCTGAAGGATTAAAAAATGACATCCGAATGGAGTGTCTGTTGTCAATGATCAAGATCGGAGTAGCATGCTCCATGGAGTCACCACAAGACCGGATGGACATTAACGACGTCTTGCGTGAGCTGAATTTGGTCAGGAAAAATCTTCAAGGCACTCAGAACAAGTCCTGATGCATAATGGTAAGAGCCAAAACTCAAACCTTTTTTTTTTTGATAAGTAAGAGCCAAAACTCAAACTTAAGTGCCTGTTATTTTCATTTCCTTGCTCTGTATTTGGTTTAAATATTGTAGTTCCAAAAACTTGCAGGGTTTCATCGACAAATTAAGTTGCCCTGGATTGCTTTTCTTCGGAATGTTAAGAATACCAACAGGTTCAAGCTCACGGACTCTGCTTCAACTAGAAGGCTTCCGTTTTGGTCCAGGTGCAGTTTAATTCATAAGTGCTTGTTGCTTGTTGATTTGTGGTTCTGCTGTTGTTGTAATGGCTTTGAGAAAGTCCTGTATCGTATGTATGATTGTTTGCTCCTTGTGTTCATGTAGTGGTTTTCTCTAGTTTAATTTCCACAGCCGTTCTTGTTTGCTGGACTTTTTGTCCCCAGGGTATTCCCTGGTGTTGTGTATTTCTTCTTCTATTCTATACAAATTTAACTCTTTACCAAGATATATATATATATATATATATATATATATATATATATATCCAAGTAGAAATTACCCAACCTTGGCTTTATAATTATTAATTAATGGAACATACAACCATACCTCAATCAGTTTGAAAACTAATCGGAAATTAATAGTTTTGGTACTTCCAAAAAAGTGCATCATGAAGAATAAATGTTTAATAGATCCTACCATGTGTTTAGCCCTACCTATGGTACATGTGAATCTTTATCAATATAGATTAAACATTTTATGGGTCTTAAAAAGAAAAGATTAATCTCACTCTACATATGTGTGTATAGTTTGGAGTGGATAAAATCAAAGATAAAAACAGAATTGTGACCCTTGTGTACATTTTATTCCCTTGAATATGACAAATTTCAGCTATCTAATGCTAAATTCCAAACCGAAGGATATTTACAACACATGCACCAACTTAATTCTTCCACCCTTCAACACTCTCTCTCTCTGAAAGTATAAGGCATATATGAGAGTGAAGAAGAGGAGAACAAAGAACAACATGTGGTTCTTTGGATTCTCCACCACAAATCCAAGAAACTATTGGATCATTGGCGCAATAATACTGGTGATCATTCTCACCCTTATCCTAAATCAGTTGGCCATCTATCTGGAGTACTCTCATAAACATAATCAAGAAGATGATGAAAATGAAAAGTATAAAGGATCATCTAAAATTGGTTGCAGTCATTGTTTCTCTGGTGCTATAAGGACTTATGCACTTGAAGAGTTGAAGTCGGCAACAAGGGACTTTAGGATTCGAATAGGCGTTGGAGCCACATCCGTTGCGTATCTTGTAGAGCTTGGTCATGGGCAATTTGGTGCCGTGAAGCGGGTTATGGAGGAGAAAGGTGGCAGCAAGAAGATGTTCTTGGATGAAGTTTCAGTTCTTCTTAGGATTTCACACCCAAATTTGGTTGGGTTGTTGGGTTTCTGCTTGGATAAAGGTAAATCATCCATATATAATCCATTCTATATAAGTAATCTTTGCAAGATCATAAATACATGTGTATTTGTATAAAACATATGATATATTATTATACCAAATGTTTGAATTAATTCTTTAAGCCATTTTATTTTCTCCCTAATTTAGGTACATCATTGTACCAAGGAAGGATTTTTTTTTTTCAGAAATTTTTTAATATTTTTTTTCAGAAATTTTTTACTTGTGCTTCACTTGCAATCCAATTTTTTAATCTTAAACATTCTTTAACGATGTCTTGCATGAGCTGAATTTGGTCAGGAAAAATCTTCAAGGCGCTGGAACAAGTCTCGATGCATAATGGTAAGAGCCAAAACTCAAACTTAAATGCCTGTTATTATCAAGTCCTCGTTCTATATTTGATTTAAAAATTTTGTTCCAAAATAGAGCTTTGTGCATTGGTTATCAGATTGGGGTAGGTTTCAAATGCCCACTTTCATTTACCAAACCGCTGTTCTCTTTCCTTTTCAGATGAAGAATCGTTATCCCACCTAGTCTTGAAATGTTCATTCTCTACCTTCATTTAGAACCATATACAATTCATTTGTTGCTTTGGGTCTCTGATCATTTGAATCCCAATATAAGTTTGAAGGTTTTAATCAACAAATTAAGTGGCCCTGGCTTGCTGTGTCTTTTCAATTTGCCCTTCTACTTTTCTTTGGAATGTTAAGAATACTGAATACCAACACATTCAAGCTCATATCTCTAAAACTCAAGGAATCTGCATCAACTAGAAGGCTTGCATCTAACCAGCTAGTTCATTCATCTTCATTGTGAAACAGGTTAAGCTCATCTTTTGGTCTGGCTGCTGTTTAATTCTTAAGTTCTTGTTGTAGTAGTAAGTTAATTGCTGCTTGGTTTGTGGTTCTGCTGGTGTTGTAAGATTTAAGAAATTTCTGTATTGTATGTATCATTGTTTGCTTCTGCTTTGGCTGCTCTAGTTTGGATTCCATTGTTTCATGGAGTAGTTTTGTCTAGTTTTCCAGAGCCATTCTTGTTGGTTGGACTTTTGTCCCCAGGGTATACCCTGCTGCTTTGTATTCATTCTTCTATTCTATATAAATTTACACTCAAGGGGGATATATATATATATATATATCAAGGTGGAACTACCAAACCATGGCTTTATAGGTTAATGGAACATACAACTAGACCTTAATCAGTCTGAAAACTAATTGAAAATTAATGGTTTTGGAACTTCCAAAAAAGTGAATCACGAAGAATGTTTAATGGATCCTACCATGTGTTTAGCTCTGGCTATGGTATGGGTGAACCGTGAATCTTTATCAAGATAGATTAAACATTTTAGGGGTCTTAAAAAGAAAATATTAATCTCTCTACATACATGTGTGTGTATTCTGGAGTGGATAAAATCGAAGATAGAAACATAATTGTAACCCTTGTGTACATTTTATTCCCATGCATAAGACAAATTTCAGCTATCTAAGTATCTAATGCTAAATTTCAAACCAAAGGATCTTTGGAACACATGCACCAACTTAATTCTCTCATCTATCCTTCTAAACCTTCCCCCTTCAACTTCTCTCTCTCTGAGTACAAGGCATATATGAGAGTGAAGAACAGAAAACAGAACAACACCATGTGGGTCCTTGGATTCTCCACCACAAATCCAAGAAACACATGCACCAACTTAATTCTATCATCTATCTTTCTAAGGACTTGTGCACTTGAAGAGCTGAAGACGGCTATGAGGGACTTGGCAATGGACAATTTGGTGGGGTGAAGAATGTTTAAGATGTTCTTGGATGAAGTTTCGATTCTCCTTAGGATTTAACAGCCAAATTTGGGGACTATTTTTTTTTTTTTTTACCTGCTGGTAGCTTATGAGAAAAGCTTATACTTCAGAAATTAGTTTGGAGATGATGTTTTGCTTATTGACAAAGTAGACTAAAATTCCAATAGCCAATGAGCTTGGATTTGGTCTTAGTTGTAGAATGTCTCTTTTGTTGTAGATTTACTTTGACAATTTTTTTTTTTTTTTTTTTAAATTTATTTATTTTGACAAATACTTCTACAATGCATTTGGGATATTTGGACCCTCAATATTCCGCTTAGACATTAACAAATTTGCTTTGATTAAGTAATACCTAATTGTACCTCCTACATTAGATATATAGATGATGCAGAAAATGTGCATGGTGTAGAGACAGTAGAGGCAAGTAGTGGGGGATACACAAGATATAAATGTAACAAGACAAGTTGTTTACGGTGATAAAAATAAAGAAGTGAAACTATCTGAGTTGGATGATATTGTATTCCCCACTGATAATTAAGCTTATAAAATAAAAATAGTAATTAAAAAAACTCATTCAAATGTATGTGTTTTGTGTATTAAAAGATGCTGAATCTCACAATCGTTTATTTCATCAATGTGAGTATTTTCAGGTAATCTGGTCAGCACTTCAACATAAGTATGGGTTCCATACGAACCCTAGAAATTGGCACAAGTTCCTCATTTGGGCCTCATCCAATTGGAAACAGAAGAAAAAGTCGAATAAAATTCTTGTTGGGAAACTTACCTTGGCCAGTTTTGTGTATCACGTCTGTAAAGTAAAGAAAATGCTAGGGTTTTCTCCAGTTCTTGTAGCCATCATTCAAAAATCCTCAGCGACTCTGTTCTCAATCACTTTTTCTCTGTCCTCAACCTGGAACTCGACAGTCCTTGCTCTGCAAATTTGAGATTGTGGTGTTCCCTGTTGATTCTCCCGCCTTTGTGGGTCTAGCTTGGGTCACCATTCGGACCTAACGTAGGATTGCCCAATGGGCCTTGTTTCGTCTCTTTGGGCTTTTGTTTGTTGGTTGGGTTTTGATTGTTTCTCTTGACATATCCCCTCTTGTCCGTTTTTATCTTGATAAAAGAAAAGAAAAATCCTCACATCGATGTAATATCCTTTATTATTGAAGTACACTCATTAAAATAAATCGAACCACGTTGAAATTTGAGAATAACCCCATCAACTATATCATATACACAATACTTTTTAAACTTTTTTATTTTGTTACAAAATGCTCCCATGCCTCTCATTAAATATGTAATGTCTGTTTCTATATATATATGTGCATATGTGTATATTTGTGTGTGTGTGGTGTAATTTAAAACAAAAAGAAAAAGGAAAATAAAAAGGAAAATGGGTGGGACCCACATGCACTTAAAATGGTCATGACACCACTTTTTGTTCCGAATTTTATTTCATTTTCCCGTAAGCTTTTCTCTCTCGTTCCAGAAGCTCTCTGTTTTTTTTTCTTTTTTTTTTTGTTTCAATCTTCAAGGCTTGATTGCTCCCTCATCTCTTAGTATTTTTAAGTGTCGTTTGAGGCAAAACGAAGCCCACGACGAGCTCTACGCATCTATACCATCAATTTCAGTTTTTGTGCACCCTTTGGATTTCGAAATTCAAGACCTACTTTTAAGGGTTTTGTGCAAATTTGAGGTATGGACTCTTAATCCACAAGTTTCTTGCTCCTATGTGAATTACATCTTCTAATTTGATGCTAGACATGTTTACTTATGCTAGTTGTAGTTTAAAGAAATTATAGCATGTGTATGTGGTTATGTGAGAACTTGTTTTAAATGTTTTATGTGGAAATTCTTGCTTATGTGATGATTTATATATGTTCGTTGTGCTAGATGCATTGTTGTACAAGAGCATGTTATAATCCCTTGAGAAATTCTTGCGAAATTATGTCTTACTTACTTAAATAGAGTTGAATGTGAAATGATGATTAAATTCATGGTATTGATGCACTCATGCACTTAAATTGGGCATGAAACGGGAAGAATGAGTTTGAAATGAAAAATGAGATTTTGGGAAAAATGATTTGATGAAACGGTTTTGAAAAACCCGGTCGCCGCGGGGATACCAAAGGTCCGGAGTGTTAATATAGCCTAGAGGGGACTAATAAGTCGCCCTAGCGTGGTTGAGCTAGCTGGGCCCCATAATGACGCCGCGGGGGTACCAAGGGTCAGGGACACTAACCAATCCTCCTCTCGTGTCGCTGCGGGGTCACCAAAGGGCGGGTTATATTAACAGTTTGAAAGTGATGTTTGAGAACAGAAAATAAGGAGTGACATTGGCATGCATTTGCATTTCATGGCATCGTGTAGGTTGTACTTGAGTTTGGTTGGAATGTTGTATTATTTCCCGACATTGTATGATCCTCATTTCCTATTGGCCTATTCTTTGTATGGATTCACAGGGACACAAGAAAAGTGTCTTAAGCATCACTTACTGAGCATATTTGTTCACCCTACTATTTATATTATTTTTTTCAGGTCTTGGAAATGAACCGGTGGACGACAATCCACCTCAAGCTTAAAAGTTGTTAGAAGGTTGTTTGTTATTTTGTATTTTGACCATTCTATGTATACTCATAGTTGTGGAAATGTAACTAAGTTAGTATTCATGGCCTTGTAACTTAAGAATAAATTTATCTTTTGTTTGATGTAAATGAAATTAATGGAATTGTGGTATATATTTTCATGCAATTGTATTATGTAACGTTGTAAAACAGGGACTTTAGATCTTAACCAGGTATTTTGGGACTGTAATTATGATAAGTTAGATTAATTGGTGTGTGGATATTCCACCATGAGATGAACTATGTTGAGGTATAATGAACGGATGAATGGGATGCTGGATTATACTATGTGTTTTGTGTTTTGGGACAGGTTGTTGAAGGACCATTTTTAGGGGAGGTCATGCCGAATTTTTTTTAAAATTTTGGCATCAGCCAGGGTCGTTACAAATTTGGTATCAGAGCGATGGTTCGAATACCATTAAGACGACGGGTAGAAGCTTACCTAGGGTTGTCTGGGAAGTCATTTGCATTGTTATTTCCTTGTTTGGAAAAGTGTTTTGCTATGTGAAAAAGCATGCTTAACTGTTTACATGCTTACGTGCTTATGTGCTTATATGCCTATATTAATGTGCTCATTGCATAGTATTACATGCTAAATGTTTGTACAATATCTTTTTGCGTTGGGTTGTTCACGGTTGGATATTAGTGTTATCGTTATTGAATTGTTTCCTTTGTTTTATAGAATGATATCACGGCGTAAGGAAATCAGGAAAGTTGGCCCTAGACCGACTAGGGGTGATGTTGGCGAGAGCTCCAGCTCCAATCCAGAGGAACTAAATGATGAGGACACACTTCTTAGGGACTTGATTCCCCCGAGAGTTGTCCCCACAAGGAGGGATAATGTTGAAGCACCCGTCGAAGTGGGTGAAGGTTCTGTGGCACTGGAGTTGAATCGTTTGTTACAAAATGTCATGAGGGCAACGATTGCTGCTCAGTCGCAGTTGGCACCACAACCTACAGTTCAAGTTAAGGAGACACCAGCTCAGAAGCGTCTCAAGATTATTAAGGGGTTTTCTCAGCTGATGCCGGTTATGTTTGAAGGCGGTGCGGATCCAATGATAGCAGATGACTACATGGAGCAAGTTGAAACTCAATTGACTTCTATGGATGTGACGAAGGATCATTTAAAGATCATCCTAGCTACTTATAAGTTTGCTAAGGATGCCAAATTATGGTGGAAGTCGGTTACGAGCCGGTACAAGGTGGAGGAGATGAGTTGGGACAAGTTCAAGGAATTGTTTTATAAAAAGTACTTTCTGCTTTCCAAAAGATGAAAGTTACAAGACCAATTTCATAATCTTATTTAAGGGAGCATGTCAGTGGCGGAATATGAGAACAGGTTCACTTCACTTTCTCGCTTTGCTCCAGAAATGGTGAAAGATGAAGCTAACAAGACTTGGAAGTTTGTTTCTGGTCTTAATGATCGGATGAGGCCGTTGATCACGACACAGTTCATTAAAGTTTACTCTGAAACGGTAGAAAAGGCTTTGATGCTGGAGGCTGATAATAAAGAGAAGGATGCAAGAAGAGAACAGTTGAAGCAAAAGATGGGTGCAGGGCCATCTTCAGAAGGATCTTCTTGGAAAAGGAACAGGGGGGTCCATCTCAGTTTCAGGGACAGCAGTCTGCACGATCTGCTCCTACCACTCCGTTACCAGCTGGGTCGGATAGGAGTGCAGTTGTTTGCTTTCAGTGCCAGCAGTCTGGACATTACAAGTCCAATTGTCCCATGAGATTGACTTCAGTTTCTTCAGCTCCGAAGGCTTGTTATGGGTGTGGCCAGCAGGGCCATTTGATTCGGGACTTTCCGAGTCAGGGAGCAGGCACCATTAGTGGCAGAGGGTCACGGTAGAGACCGTCACAGTCGGCTACGGTTCAATCAGGTTTCAGACCACCGCCACCACCACAGTCTGCATTGTCTTCTCAGGGTTCACGACCAGCTAGGAGGGATACTCCTACTGTGTCGGCACAATAGTCTGGTGTTCAGATTAGTAGTTCACAGGCACAGGCACCACAAGGGCGTGTCTTTGCCCTTGCGCTGACTAATGCATCTCCTGGCTCTTCAGTTCTCCGAGGTATATTTCCAGTGTTTAGTTCTTGGGCCCATGTTTTGTTTGATTCTGGTGCATCTCATTCTTTCATTTCATCATCATTTACATTTGCATCGGGGTTAGAAGTCAGTTTTATGAATCGGACGTTGTGTGTTGATACGCCAGTTGGAGTTTCAGTGTCTTTGAGTCAAGTCGTGAGGGACTGTTCCATTGTGATAGCCGGGCGGACTTTTGTGTTTGACCTTATCCTCCTGGAGATGACTAGCTTTGATGTCATTCTCGGGATGGATTGGTTAGCTTCCTTTCATGCCACGATCGACTGTTACAGAGGAAGGGTTACAGTTTGTACTCCCGAGGGAGACTGTTTCTTTTTTGTGGGAGATCGAAGTAATTCCCACATTTCATCGTTTTATGAAATTCGTGGACGGAGTCGTGGTGATTACTTTTTGGCTAGCCTTATAGCTGAAGAGGATGATGTTGTGGAAGAATATTATCCTGCAGTTGTTCGTGATTTTCTGGATGTGTTTCCGGAGGATTTGACAGAGTTGCCTCCACACCGAGAAGTGGAGTTTACTATTGACTTAATGCCCGGTACCGCACCGATTTCAATGGCACCGTATCGTATGGCACCAGTTGAATTGGAGGAATTAAAAAGACAGCTTGATGATTTGAGGATGAAAGGTTTCATCCGACCGAGTGTGTCACCATGGGGCGCACCGGTCTTGTTTGCTAAGAAGAAAGATGGTTCTTTGAGGTTGTGCATCGATTATCGGAAGTTGAATCGTGCCACCATCAAGAACAAGTATCATTTGCCAAGGATAGATGATTTATTTGATCAGTTGAGGGGAGCCAGTTGTTTCTCCAAGATTGACTTGAGGTCTGGCTATTATCAGTTGTGGGTTAGGGATGAGGATATCCCGAAGACAGCATTCCGTACACGATATGGACACTATGAGTTCCTTGTTATGCCTTTTGGCTTGACTAATGCTCCAGCGGCATTTATGGACTTAATAAACCGCGTCTTTCACGATTACTTGGACCAGTTTGTGGTATTTTTCGTGGATGACATTCTTATGTATTCACGATCTCGGGAGGAGCACGAGATCCATTTAAGTATTGTTTTACAGATTTTGCGGGAGCACTGGTTGTATGCCAAATATGAGAAATGTGAGTTTTGGCTACGAGAGGTGAAGTTTTTAGGACATGTTTTTTCAAAAGGCGGAGTGTCAGTTGATTCATCAAAGATTGAAGCTGTTTTGAATTGGGAGTAACCCAAGAATTTGTTTGAGATCCGTAGTTTTCTTGGTCTAACGGGTTACTACCGGAGATTTGTGAAAGATTTCTCCCGTTTGGCAGCGTCTATGACCCGTTTAACCCGGAAAGGGATTAAGTTTGCATGGAATGAAGCCTGTGAGTCATCTTTCCAGGAATTGAAGACAAGGTTGATTACGGCTCCAGTGTTGGTGATACCTGAGCGTGGCTTGGGTTATGTAATCTATTGTGATGCTTCACATGATGGTTTAGGGTGTGTGTTGATGCAGGATGGTCGAGTAGTGGCTTATGGGTCTCGGTAGTTGAAGACTCACGAGTACAACTACCCTACTCATGATCTGGAGTTGGCGGCAGTTGTGTTTGCTTTGAAGTGTTGGAGACACTACTTGTATGGTGAAAGATTTGAGGTGTACTCGGATCATAAAAGCCTCAAGTACCTTTTCTCCCAAAAGGACTTGAACAATAGACAGAGAAGATAGGTTGAATTCTTGGAAGATTATAATTTTGACTTGCAGTATTATCCGGGCAAGGCAAATGTGGTAGTAGATGCCTTAAGCCGAAAATCTCGTGGAACTTTAGCCTGTTTTGCTATTCGAAAGTGGAAGATGCTTAAGGATTTGGCAGAGATGGGATTGTATTATTTTGATGACGATGTTGATAGCGAGCCGGCATTCTTGTTTAGTCTTGTGGCTCAGCCTACTCTTGTTGTACAAGTGATTGAGTCACAAAGACAAGACCTGGATTTAGATGTCATTCACGCTTTGATCTCCAGTGGTGAGACAATGAAAGATTGGGCCTTGCATGCAGATGGGGGTCTACGGCTCAGGAGTTTGTTGGTGGTTCCTACGGTTTGTCGTGAGGACGTCTTACGGGAGTTTCACACTTCCCACTTTGCATTTCATCCAGATGGTACCAAGATGTATCACAATTTGAGATGTCAGTATTGGTGGAACGGGATGAAGAAAGATGTTGCACAGTTTGTGGCTAGATGCTTTACCTGTCAGCAGGTAAAGGCCAAGCATTAAAGACCAGCCGATTTATTGCAACCATTGCCTGTAGCGTAATGGAAATGGGAATATATCACTATGGATTTTGTGACAGGTCTTCCAAGGTCACGGAGGGGCAATGAGGCCGTATGGGTCATCATTGACAGATTGACCAAGACGGCTCACTTTTTGCATATTAAAGCAATAGATGATGTAGAGAAGCTTGGTGTTCTTTATGTGAAGGAGATTGTAAGGTTACATGGAGTTCCTGTAACTATTGTGTCAGATAGGGATGCTAAGTTTACTTCGAAGTTCTGGGAAGGACTTCAACCAGCGTTTGGCTCAGCGTTGCATCTGAGTACGGCATTCCATCCACAGACTGATGGTCAGTCGGAGCGTACTATCCAGATTTTGGAGGATTTGCTTCAGGCATGTATGCTTGACTTGGGTGGTAGTTGGGAGGATCACCTTCCACTTATTGAATTTGCCTACAACAACAGTTATCAGGCGAGCATTCAGATGGCTCCATTTGAGGCGTTGTATGGTAGACCTTGTAGGTCTCCTGTTTGTTGGACTGAGGTAGGCGAGACAGCCGCCTTAGGACCCGACATTATACTCGAGACTACTGAGAAGATTAAGTTGATAAGATAGAGGTTACTTATAGCTCAGAGCAGACAGAAGAGTTATGTGGATAAACGGAGACGGCCGTTATCCTTTGAAGTGGGAGACCACGTTTTTCTTCGAGTTTCTCCACGGAAGGGTTTGTGAGATTTGGGAAAAGTGGCAAGTTGTCGCCATGATTC